CTATCATGATGTGACAACTTCGCCAGAGGAAAAAAGCCAATGGGGGAGCTGAGGACAACTGATCACAGATGGAAAACAGTGAGCCAAAATGAAATAAGCCTTTTCACTACAGTAACAGATTAAAAATGATTAGCACACTGAAAAGGGAGGGAAAACAAAACAAATGATCAAAGAGGATAGATGATAGATAGATAGATAGATAGATAGATAGATAGATAGATAGATAGATAGATAGATGCATACACACATACACATACATATTTGCCCATCTTCATAGTGACTTCAAGATGTCTCTGTTGGGCTTAGCCTAGGTGTGGTTAGTAGCACTGACAACTAGTCTCTCAAGTCTTGTTGTCATGGATGAAGCAAAGAGAGAAGAGCCAGCTACAGTAGGCGGCCCCCTAAAACTCCAAAAAGAGAAAAGATTATGATATATATCATATTTATATATCATATTCATATAATATATATATTTATATATAAAATATGTAATGTGACTGAAGAGACTTTAGAGTAATTTCAACAGCAGCGCTTCACTGGGCTGATGTGGAGGGGACCCTAAGAACACACCCCAAGAAAAACTTCAAAGAAGTACAAAATGGAGCTCTAGGCATGGTGAGGTAGGCCTATAATCCCAGCAATTCAAGAGACAAGGGGATCCTAGGTTTTGCTTGAACAATCTGGGTAAGTTAAAAACCCTCAGTTGTGGAAGGCATACCTAGCACAGACACGGCCCTAGATTTGTTTGTACCACCGAGTAAAGGTAAGGCACAAAGTTAATAACTGATGCTGAGATCAGAAGCCCAACCTGAAAGATGAGAATGTACCCTGGGATATTTGGAGCATCTAAAATTAAAATTAGATTAAATTTCAATAAAATAAATGTTGTAAATAAAATTAATAGTAAAATAATTTAAGAGAGTTCCCAGAAAGCCAAAAAACTGTGGCTACCCTCCAAGAGAGTGCATGGGTCCAGAGGAAGTGATGGAGGAGCAGCTAAAATGTGAGCAAAGAAACATCATCCTATCTAGGAGCATCTCCAGACTAGGAGGATGGAATCTGACTCAAACAGAACTAGCCTTGAGGCAAGCACAAAGACATAACTCAGAGAGGAGCCCAGAGACACTCTAACCCAACCTGGAATCCATTCTGATAAGGACTATACTGTCCTAAAAACTCCATGTCTTAAAAAAGAAAAACAATTATCTTGTACCAGAGTACCCGCCTGGAAAAAAAAATTCATAATCTTTTCTCTTCTTGGAGTTTTAGGGGGGCGCCTACTGTAGCTGGCTCTTCTCTCTTCCCTTCATCCACAACAACATGACTTGAAAGACTAGTCATCAGTGCTACTAACCACACCTCTAGGCTAAGCCCAACAGACATCTTGAAGTCACTATGAAGATGGACCTCTCCCCAATACCTCCAATCTGAGTTCTTTACACTAACTAGGACCCTTCCAGGTAAAAAACAAAATCAACAGGGTCACACTTTACCCTACTCCCCTGAATCAACCCTTTACTGTTACCACCCAAGTTCTTGAACAAGGCAGTCTACACCCCAGATTCCGACTCACTAGTGAATCCTGGTGCATACTGGCCTAGGGTTCCTGGGTCCATCATTGGGTATACTGCCACCTCAGGGTTACAAATGATCTTCTGGCTCCCTTGGATACCACAACCTTCTTGCTTCTCTATCACTTCATGCCTGTCTTTCAAACATAAGAAAAAGTTCCTCAAATCTCACACTATACACTGCTGTCCTTAAACTACAGACCACCTGACTCACAACAGCTGAGACTTAGCCTGGACAAGGATAGCCCATCATTACCCTTCCATGAACACCAGGGCATGCAGCTGCCCCAATCTAAGTTAAGAAACACCGGGCTGTCACGAAATCACCAAACTGCCAAAGACAACAGAGTACTGCTCTAAGATGTCTTCCAGATCCCCTGAATCCCACACACTTACCCAACTAATGATGAAGTCCTAGCAGTTCCACCTCCTCAGATCTCCCTCCTCCGGGCCTTCCCTCTTCCAGTTCATTCACAACAGGAAAATCTAACCATGTCTCTCTTTTGCTCAAAATCCTTCAACCATTATGTACTGCCCACTGATGTCCAAACTCCATCATCAGCAACAGTGCACATGGTTTTCACTCTCCCGTCTCTGTTCTACTTCCCTCAGCGATGGCACGCACATTGCTTTTATTCTCTTTCCTCACTCCATTCTACTTCCCTGCACTTGTGCCCTACCACACTTTGTTTTCAGCAGCTCCATTGCACCCTCCCTGGCTCTTCATCCAGTTCTCCCTCAGCTGAGACTTTTCATTCACTTACTCTGGAGGCTTTTCTCATTTCAGAACAGCCCCTTAGTTCTAGTCAGTGGTCCTCGTCTGAGGTCTTATGGTCCTTGCAGGATACAAACTGTAACCAATGTATACACAGTAAGCTCATTGGCTGCCAACAAAGAGATCTGTCCTGCTTAACAGCATATTCCTACCATGTATGACAAATTCTAAAGTATCCTTTAAGGTTAAAGAGAAGAAAATGAGCACATTAAGTAATTTATGAAGGTTGCCTATCACAATCCTGACCACACCCCACTGTCTGTGAGCATAGATTATAGAAATCTTAAAATCTCCTATCTCTCACTTCTGCAACCCCAACAAATAAAGGTAGTGTTTCATACTGAGCAGGCACTTACCTAATACTTTTTAAATAGAAAAAGCCACCTTAAAGGAAAATCTGGAGGCTGGATAGATGGCTCAGTGTATAAGAGTACGTGCTGCTCTTTCAGAGGTCTCAGGTTCAGTCCCCCACACCCACTTGTGGGCTCAAAACCAACTTTAACTCCAATTCCAGAGGATCTGATACCCTTTTCTGGCCTTCATGGGCACTGCATGCACATGGTGCACAGACATACATGCAAGCAAGACACCATACATATTAAATAAATAAGCAATTTAAAAAGAAAAGAAACAGCATCAGGGCTGTAAGGGGGTAAGGATAGAAAACTAGACACTCTTCTTTCCATGTATCTCTATATTGACATTAAGTATTTTTTCCCAGTGTGTATATGGTTCCAAATGCCCAAAAGTAAAGTTAGAAAATATGACAAAAATAAAATGCTGTTAGGCTGCAGAGACTCAGCAGGTAAGAGTGCTTACTACACACACATGAGGACCTGGGGTTGGGTTTTGATCATCTATGTAAAAAGCCAGGAATAGCTGTGTACCTGTAACCCTGGAGCTGGGGAGTGAGGAGAGGATAGGATTGCTGGAGCTGACAACCACCTTTGAATTTAGTGGGAAGAAACTTGAGACTTGAGAAAGTCAGAGATGGACCCACATGCACATGTACACACACATGTACCCTGGATACACAAAAACTGAATTTAAAGAAGCACTTGAAGTAAGTTAATTAACTTTTTAAAAATTAAGAAAGTGAGCAATTTGAAGTCTGCACAGCAATTTAGAGACTATCTCAAGGGAAAAACCACAACCTACATTCTTCAAAGGAAATTTCTGGAATCAGAAAACCAGCAAAACACAGTACAGACACGTTGTTTCATATTTATTTCACAAAGTTGTTTTCATATAAGCATCTTAATAGCCAAAAAAAAAATGCCTCTTGCTTGTCAACATACAAGTTTCTATGAAAACTCTAAAGTATGTCTCCACAGACACTGGTGATGGAGCAAGTTGGGGGGTAAGGGTTAGGTCAATGTTGGCTCAATCACCTAGCAAAGTGTGTTCCAGCTTTATTTCCAATTTTTTTTTTAATTACTAGCATCCATCAATGGCAATGAGACTATAAAATTTAAGCAAACAGATCAAGCAATGCTCTAAAGTAGTTTCACTGTGCAGATGTAATGTCTACAGGCAGATATAGAACAAGGTTCTGTTGAAAGGTAACAGAAATACAGGTCCAAGAGGTACGTCTCCTTTACAATCCAGTGAGCTCTGAACATCCAAAACAGCACAGCTTTCTTAAAAATCAACTCAAAGGAGCTTTTAAATTCAGAAAACTGAGCGCTACAACACAGCTATTAGAACCCTGGGAGAAGGAAGCAGAGAGGACAAGATCTTTAACTGCCTTTGGGAAAGGTCAAACTAGCTCGCTCCAGTTTAAGCTCTCAAGTAGATCAAAGGACGGACTGAAAGGAGCCACTAACTGCATTGTCTCCCTACTTGAATAGGAAAGTTTGGTAAAGCATATACAAAAACAGCCCGTGCCCAGGAGAATTTGCCCTGGATGAGACAACGAAACAAGAACTCTGAACTCGGTTTGCTGTACAGTCTCAGGTATTTTCTCAGTTTTAGACAAGCCAAACTTTCAAAATGGAAAACATTTTAAATGGTCGCCCTCCCTCCTTTAGAAAAACGTGCGTTCAGAATCTTAAAAGTCAAAATGTCATGCCCTATTAGGCATTTGAATTTAAGAGCGTCGACCCGAAATAAAAAAAAAAGGATCCTTTCTAACCTTCGGCTTTTGAAAACTCAAAAAAAAAAAAATTACTGCTAGGAGATAATCGCCATATCAAAACCAGCCCCTAAATGATAAAAAAAATTCCTTATTCCACTAAACATCAGCGAAGAAGATGACAAGCTACCTTTAATCTCAGGCCTATCGCATAGTTTCTCAATAATTAAGAACTCTGTTCTCCACTGCAGAGAGGCCAAACCAAGAGGAAAAACCAGCATTTGTTGGGAAGTACCAAAGCCAGAGGGGGGACAGATGAGCTGTCCGGAAGGTTGCGCCGTGGACCAGGCCGGGAGCAGTCGGAGCCTCGGTGCACGCGGCCCGCAGGACCCCGGCGCAGGCCAGGCCGCACGCGGGACGGGAGCAATCGGGATGAAGGATGCGCAAGGAGGATGCGGCGCCACCTGCGGCCGGGAGGGACCAGGGCAGGTCGGCAGCCCCAGCGCGGCACCCCCGGACTCCCGCCCCGTGTCTCCCCGAGGTCGGCCCGTAGCCGGGGAAGGACTACAGCTGCACTCACCGCGCCGCGCTCCTAGCTTCATCATCCCGCCGCCCGCACCGCAGCACGCAGCGGCGATATACGCGGCCCCAGACCCCGCACCGCACGGCCACGCCCCCTTCAAGGCCAGGGGGCTGGATTGGCGAGCGCTGCGGCCAATGGAGAGCCAACTGGAGAGGGCAGCGTAGGCATGAGGGGGAGGGGCGTTGCGGAGAAGGCGGTGCATCCTCAGGCCTCCTCCTCCAAGGTGGGGACCCAAGGGGCCTGGGTACCAACCCTGCCAGGCCCCTTGGGTCCCCACCTGTAGCTTACCCTTCACCTGGGTCTTGAGGCCCCTGGTAACACAGGGCTGTCAACATACCTATATGTCCTCAGACACCGTGCAGGGCTGAGGATTCACCCAAGCCTGAGAGGATTAATAGCCCTGTCATCAGTAGGCATTTAACCCCTGGAGGTTCAGAAACCTCCCATCTTTTTCATGTACGGATTCCTTTTCCCTTGGTCTTCACCATCTCCAAACCCTAATCTCCCCACCTACGAGGAAAGACACACTGCGTATTAAATAGGATAGTCTTGAACCACCAACTTATCCTGGTCTCTGGTAGTGCCAGATAACTAAAGCGAAAATAAACAAGACTAGGAGAAAGGGGGAGGAAGGGAAAGAGAAAACAGAAGATATCATGTTCTCCTAGATTCCAAAGGAAATGAGCTTTACAGTATCAAAACAGGAATGTTACACATGGTTTTTGTTTTTTTACAAATCAAATCACAAAATAGAAAGTTATATTTAAAAAGCTCAAGAAAACTGATTCAAGTGGTCTTTAAGACATGATAAACAAGCCAGTAGTAAAGACCTAACTGCTGATAGACATTTTAGCAGAGTTCCCACCACCAGAAAGACAGCAGAAAAGCCACACACCATTCACAAACTCTGCAATGCTTTCAAAAGATTTTTAAAACTCTATCCTTGGTTTCCATATAATAACAATTTGGAATATACAGGTAAACAAGACATCAGCTCCCCAGGATTCTAAACACTGACACTGGGAAGATAAATTTATGCCCCACCCAAAGACAACTTGACATTCAAATTACATCTGCCTCTCCTCCTTTTCATCTGCTCTTACCCAGAGAAGTGGCTGCCATACATATATTCAGGTAACTGATGGAGAACTCAAAAATATGAAGATATAGGAATATCCAGAATGTCTTTCTTGTGGTTACTAGTCACATTTCCCCAGTCCTTTCACTTCTATAACCCTTGCCATACCTGAGCTGCCTCTAGACTTACCTCTGAACATGCCGTAACCCTTAATGGTGCAGCTCTGGAGTGTTGACACTTGCTGCATCGGGCCACTTGCCTTTAGATCCCAGTTCCCTGATGAACTCAGTTTATTCTCTGCTTATATCTAATGAGATACCTTGTATTGTCATATAGAGTATGTAGTACATATAACTTACTGTTGGTGTCTTTGTTAGAGTGTCATTGCTGTGAAGAGACACCATGACCAAGGCAACTCTTATAAAGGCAAATGTTTAACTGGGGCTGGCTGACTATTTCAGAGGTTCAGTCCATTATCATCATGGCAGGAAGCATGGCAGCTTGCAGGCAGACATGGTGGTAGAGAGGAAGCTGAGAGTTCTACATCTTGATCTGAAGGCAGCCAGGATGAGACTCTGTCTTCTGCAGGCAGCTGGGGGAGCACTCTTCTGCCCTGGGTGGAGCTTAAGCATAGGACCTCAAAGCCCACCCCCACAGTAAGGAGATGCACTTTCTCCAACAAGGCCACACCTCCTCCAACAAGGCCACACCTACTTCAACAAGGCCATACCTCCTAACAGTGCCCATTTCCCATGGGCCAAGCATAGTCAAATCACCACAGTTAGCATTGTGACCTCAATGTGTCCTCAACACTGGAATTACTTCAGATGCGAACATATCTAAACAAGAAGTCTGGAGCAAACACCTGGGCTTCCACAACAACATCTCCACGGTGTTACATGTCTCCAACTTCTTAGAGTCAGTGGTAATATGTCTCTTGTCATGTGACCCTTCTATCAATTACCATCTTTACAAGATAGCTCCTCTAGACATTGTATCCCATTCAAGAAAACAGTACGTAGACAAAAGGGAAAAGATCAGCAATTTCCATACCAGTGGGTCTCCTCCCCTTTTAACACTTTCTGGAAAGCCCCTGTGAGCACCTTCTGTTTGCTTCTTAGTCAGACCCATGTCATGTGGCTACAAAGGAGCCAAAAGTATTATATATTTTAAGACAGAAAGACATTCAATTTCTGTTAGTAATAAAGAACAACTGTATGTATGGCCTATGTATGGTCAGTACCTGTCAATGTTGCTAAATAAATAAATTCATGACTGAGTCTCTGATTTGACTAATTCATAGGAAGACTCACATTATAAAAAGCTACTGAAATCTCAGAAAGAAAATGACGCATACAGTTTTAAAGTGAGCTAAATATCCTAAAAAACCCTTTGTCAAAATGAACATGGAGAAAAATATAAGAATTGAATAGGCATGTGTACCACCAAATATGTCATTAGGGAGTTGTAAATTAAAACAAAAATTAAACAGCATAGCATACATACTGGATCAGTTGAAATCTAAAAATGCAGCAATACCAGATGTTGGCAAGGATACAGGGCCACAGGATGGCTTGTTCACTGCTACTGAAGATTGCAAAATGGTACAATTTGGCAGTTTCATAGAAAACAGAGACTAATTTTTCCGTAGGGCCCAGCAAACACATTTTTAGAAATTTATCTGATGGAGCTAAAAAACTTTTGTGCATACAAAAACTTACACCTGGGACTGAAGAGATGGCTCAGTGATTAAAAGCACTGGCTGCTCTTAAAGAGGACCCGGATTTAGTTTCCAGCACCCATTAGGCAGTTCACAACCATCTAAACTCCAGTTACAGGAGACCAGACGCCCCCACGTGGTGTCTATAGGAACTGCATGTACATGGTGTATGTGTGTTCATGCATACACACACACTCAGGCACACACAGATACACATAAAATAAAAATAAATAACTTTTAATCTTAAAACTTATGCTTCAATGTTTACCCATAATCACCAAACACTGGAAGAAACTAAAATGTCCTCACTTAGTAAGTAGTCGGTGATGTATCCATATAAAGCAATATTATTCCACAAGGAGAAAAAAAATGAGCAATGGGGCCACAAAAGAATGGGGGAACTATTCACGGTTGAATAAAAGAAGACAATCAGGAAAAGCTATGTGTTACACGATCCTGAAAATGTGACATTCTGGAAAAGTAAAAAATATGGAGAGCATGGGATCAGTGATTGTCAGGGGCCTGGGAAGGAGAAAAGCAAAGATTAAACAGGTGCAGCTCGGACTTTTAGGACAATGCAATACATACATACATACATACATACATACATATATATATATACATACATATGTATATATATACCATAACCAGAGAATGAAGGGTTCTAATGTAAACTGTAGGTTCTCTTTAATAAAAATACATCAACTGTGAGTGTGCAAATGGTAGCCTCACTAACACATTTATAACTAGAACCTGGAAGGGGAGGGTGAGTGCCTGGAAATCTATGCACCTGCCCTCAGCTAATTTTGTAAATTCAAGCGTCCTTTTAAAAATTAATTCATCACTGACAACAGCAAACTCATAGACACTGTAATAGAGGCAATGAAGACAACATTTCATGTTTTTAAAAGGTCATCTTTTGCCTTGTTGAAGTCACAAATTATATTCCCCTTCCGATACTGGTAAATCTTTAGAGTCCTTCCTCACAAGAGAAGTAGGTTCTTATACAGCTTTATATTGCAAAATTTCCAAATATAAAGGAAAATTTAAGGACTTACAAAGTGAGTACCCATTCTATTTTTCGCTGTCAGCTGTCGGCTGTGCACATACTGCCTCATCAGCTTATCCCCTGGTAGGTGCCTTGCTTAGTCCCTTAGCCACCACACTCCTTCCCACCACTCTCCCCCTCCTCCCCTCACCTCTTCCCCATCTCGTTCTCCCTCCACCCCACCCCCATTCTCCTCCTTCCCTCCTTCCCTCCCTCCCTCCCTCCCTCCCTCCCTCCCTTCTTCCCTCTTTTCCTTGCTCTCTCCCTCCCTCTCTCTCCCTTTCTCTCCTCTCTACCCCCTCTCTTCCTTTTGCCACATAGGTTATTTAACTAAGCCAATCAGAAACAAATTGCAAAAGCCAAGGCACTAAATGTGTTGGCTTTCTGTCACAGAAGAAAATAAAATTACCTAGGAAAATTAACTGTAAAAGTGAAAGGCTATATTTTGACTGTAGTTTCAGAATTTGAAATCTGTGTTTACTTAGCTCTGTTGCTTTGCACTCATGGCGAGACAGAACATCACGATAGGCACCACACAGTGGGAAGAAAAAAACAGAAGAGGTGGAGACTCCACTATCCCTCTCTGCTTCAAAGGTATGTCCCAGTAACCTAACTCCTCACACAAGGTCCCAACTCTTTTTTTAATTATTATTAAGTTATTTATTTACTTTATATCCTAATTACAGCTTCCTCTCCCTCCTCTCCTCCCAGTCCCTCCCTCTCAGCACTCCATCGCTGTCTCCACCCACTCCTACTTCATTTCTCCTCAAAAAAAAAAAAAAAAAAAAACCAGAGGCCTCCCATAGATATCAACCTGCCTTGGCATATCAAGTTGCAGTAGAACAAGGTGCACCTTCTATTGAGGCCAATAAAGGCAGCCCAGTTAGAGGAAAGGGATCCAAAGGCAGGTTCCAACTCTAAAAGGGTCCACAGCCTCCCAACAGCTCCTTCATATGTGGTCTTTGGGAAGATATTTAAAATCCAAACCATGGCTCTAAATACTTCAGCATGTATCTCAATGCAAAACCTCATTCTTCATTTCCTAGCATATAAGAAAGGAATTCTGATGATGTGAACGGCTGTTAGTGTCCCATGACATCTTGAGTGACCAGTTAGAGGAGGAGCCAGGCTTGTGCCAGCCACCCTCCATGGACAGCCCACTGTCTGGCATTACTGTGATAATTGAACAGCTTTCTATCATAATCCTATTAAAATCTTCACGGTGACGTTTCTTAAACCGCTTGGAACACTCCACCCCCGTCCCTTGGCTGACCACACTCTTGAGTGGGTTTCCAGAGAATATCTAGAATTGTCCTCCCTTGGAGTCTGACAGTGATGGTCTAGGGCTTTTTGTGAGACACTTTATAAATTAGATATTTCCTCAGTAATTGAGTTTGCTTCCCTTTTGTCATTGCAACTTGTTAGTAGAATAACAATTGTCATTCTCCGGAACTTAATAGCATGTCATCTTACGTACAAA